TCGAAAACTCGAAAAAGCGAGTAAGTCTTGCTGAGTCGTGCATCCCAGTGGCGCTTGCGCTCGTCCCGGTAAAACTCATTCTGCACCTTGCTCTTGAGATCAATGTCTTTGGCGGATGCCAGCCTGGTCAGCAACTCCGGTGACATCCTCAAAATTACATTCTAAGACTCTGAAACCACTCCCAAAGTAAGCTTGAGCACCCTCAACGATTCACCCTGAAGGGCCCTGGGCCCGGAGCAAACACACATGGCGCAAGAGCATAGATGGCAGTCTCCAGCCCCACATGAGACATCCAGAAGACCAAAATGTTAACCCCGGATTAATAAACCCCTGGTTGATTAATAGGGGGGTGTCCCCTTTTAGTGGGGATTCATCACTTTTGGAGGGAACACCCCCCTAATAATGGGACGGGTTTATTCATCCTGGGTCAGCATTAGTTGGACCCTCAAGCAAGCCCAAAGTTTGGGACGTTCCGCTTCCAAGGGTTCGGTGTTGCAAAGTCCGCACAAAAACAGGCGACTGGCTTGCTGGCACGCGGCATGTCGCTGCTTGCCATCTCTGCAGCTATTGCGCCCGTTTCAAAAGCTCCCCCAAAAATCGGTTGCCGGCCCCTTGCAGTAAGGAAAAGAACTGGAGTCTTTTTGAGGTCGACCTTTTTGCACCGGACAAGCCATCAAACAAAAAAGGCATAAGGGCGGCACCGAGCAACTGGTCTCCTGGACCGTCCCTCTGTCAGCACTCAGCACCCCTTTTGTCAATTGTGGATTCATGAATACCTGCGCATCAATCACGGGTAGTGTCCACACGTGGCAACCTCTCAGTTGACGGGCACCTCTCTGATGAGTGCGGTGCAGAATGTGATTCTACCAACGCAGCCATATTAACATAAAAGGTTTTTTAGGCCTTGCTACAATTTCAATCGCAAGAAACCGGACACATATACCGAGCGGGACAACGCTCGTGCCACCTATCCTTCACCCCCTGGCTAAGGCTTCATCTGCTCATCGGCCGCGCCTCAGCTCCCGCATGGAAGTCCAAACGCGCATGGCCTCCATGGGTGGATCTTCCTCCTGCGCAATGCCGTACCGGAGGTATGGCCTGTCAACATAGGGAAACCGCCACATTGGGTGGTGCTATTTCCCTTCAAACTTCAAACAAACAAAAAAGGCAGGGGATCATCAAAAACCACCGTCATATTGGACATGTTGAAAGCTAATTAACCTTGTTCAGCTGTTTTAAGTGGTGTCTCCCATACCAGTATGTGTTGGGGTGTCCTACGGAACCCTGCAAAAGACGTGACCAAAACTTCAAAACGCCCTTGCAGCATTCCCGATGTGTATAATTCACGCGTTGCCGTGCTGGTTGTGCCTCTCTTCCAAGAAGGGGTAGTTGCAACCCAACTAGCCGAAGGGCACAAAACCCCGTTCATTCCCCTCTTTCAGAGCTCGTTGATTCGTCCTGTTTGCCTGCCGGGAGCTTTTCTCTGTGGGAACCACCTTTTTGTGCGCCAAGCCCATTAGGAAAAAAAAATGGACACAGGATGACACCGGTGGAAACCCAGAGATGCACGGAGTCCTGCAACTCATCACGGCGAGCCAGCACGGCTGCCGCATCCTGACAGGGGCCCTACCATCATGATTGAATGTTAGTTATTTCTGAGGGACCATTTGTTGGGTGTTTGGTAAAGGGAAGCCAAAAGGAAACAAACATACTTGTTCGGTCACCAAGCTATTTGGACATAACCCAAATGGATAAGCAAAAGCTGGTCCCTGCCCAGTTCCACTTTTCAGGGGCATCCTACAGCCCCCCTCCCAAAGAAGCCCAAAGTGTGAGGGGCGTAAGTCCAAATAAGGCCAACCTTTAACGAGAGGCCGACTAAATCGGCCTGTCTGAAGGGAATCGTCAAAAATGGCCACAACTACCCTGCGCTCAAGCATCCTACGCCTGGAACTAAAAGCTTCAGCGTTTTGGAGCCGCGATCGCTACTGATTCGCTGTGTAAGCAAAGTGATGTCGTGCCAGCCGCATGATCCTTGGCTATTACTGGCTATTATTTATTGAATGGTACTGGCCCAGCCATAGGAAAGCTCAGCAGTTTCGGTCGATGGGGTGCATGGCTTGTCGCACCCTGCGCGTATCCACGGCTTATCCTACGCATGCCTGTCCCCCAAAGCCCCCCTCCCTTGTAAGTGCAATGGCATATTTGTGTGAGAACTTCCCCCGAAAGGGGGAGGCACCCAGCTTCTGGCTGCAGAAACACGTCCCGCAGAAACACGAGCAAAGAGCTGCAGCTAGCACTCGATTGCTTGCAACCTGGTTGTAGGCTTGTTGTGATGTTGCCACTGGAAATAGCCCAAGGCAGGCAGGTGATTGGTGCGGGGGGGAGGTCAGGTAAGCCCGGTAGTTGCGGGGGGGGGGGGGGCAACAAATTCCTGGAACCTCAACCTACCCTTGAAAATGCGATCATGGCCCAAACTTCCTCGTATGACTTTCCAATTTTCCAGGCTATGTTGTTAGGCCAAACGTAGATTTCTAGCAACAAGTGAACGTCTGCCAGGCTATTTTCGGGGCTGGACTTAGGCTCCCTTGCAAAGAAGTGCGACGTTTGCAAGGGCAAACATGAAGAGCCAGCATCCCAAAACCTTAAAAACGTGGCACCTTTCACCCCAAAAAGACCTCGAAACCTGTCGGGGTCTTGGGACCTCAGGGCAAGGCCCTCCGTCAGCGGCGGCAAATCAGCGGCTTCCGCACTCGCCTTCCAGCGGGTGCGCGCGCGCTTCAGGTCCGGGTCGGTGGCCATAAGCCGCTGCAGCCGCACCACGCGCGCCTGAAACGGAAGTCAGATGGATCGATTGATGCGGGCTGGGAGGAAGTTCAAACAAGGCCGGTGGGGGAGGAGGGGGGGAGCCCCCTGCCCCCCACCATCAATCTAAGCACTCAAAACACATATGGAAAACAAGGCCTCCGATGGTGTCCCACCTTGAAACAAAGAGGGGCAAGAGAGCCTCCCACAAGAGTTGCAGGATGTCCCAAAAGAGTGCGTCTTTCTTTGTAGGACCCCCCCCCAAAAAAAAATAAACACATCAGCGGCTTGTCTTTGAAACAACCCCAACAAAGGGCACCCTAAAACTGGGCTGCCCCCAGATCTTCGGCTAAAAAGTTTAACTTTCAGTGGGTGAAATACGGCTTCCAACCGCTAAACCCGCCAAAAAAAAGCCGAAAAGCCGAAAAGCTCAGGCGCCGCATGGCTTGGGAGCCACCCGGAGGGGCCGCTTCGGGGGAAAAGCGGTTGGCGCTGGCTTTGCCGAGGGGCAGTGCGCTTCTCCGCGCGGGCCCTCTGATGCTTATCTTCCAGGCGCTCCATGACCTGCGACGGATGGATGCGAGTTGGGGTCCGTCGGGGGGGGGGGGCGTTGGTGGGGGGGGGGGGTGAGGTTTGCAAGGAAACCAGAGGCAAACGGTCTGCGGGTTTAAGTTTTTGTTTTTTTTGGGGGGGTGTAGTTTTGGGGGGAAAGGCAAAGAAAGCTGGAGAGAAGCAAAGGCAAGCTGAAGCAACAAACACAAGTTCGCAGCGTCCACTTGAAGAGGGTCCATGGTAATTTTGTGTTCAGGGTTCACTTGAACATGATCCATGGAAATGTGTAAAGCAGCTCGAACTTCTCGTGGTTGTCGAATTCCACTTGGGGGTTTCACACCCATCTCTCGCCTTTCGAGCACAGAAGACGACGCGAGAAATGCTTGTCGGAAAACGCAGGCCCAAAGGGTCTCAAAATCAGCGGTTTCGGGAGCTTCGGGAGCTTCGTTAGACGACTTCGAAGGAAGGGAATCTGCGGGTGAGACAGCGCTTGCCCGGCATTTTATCATGGCCGGGCAGTTGTTTGTTTCTTGTGATGTGCTGCTGGGCCAAAACAAAAAGGGCGGAAAGAAACGGATGTTGCTTGGTTTGCACCTCCCCTCCAGAAAAATGGAGACATGCCCCAAAAACAAAGTCTCACCTTCCGACCGAGGGCTTACTCCATTTTCGGCCGATCGCCAAGCTGTCAGGTGGCGTGTTTTGGGCGACCAATGATCCCTGCCTGCCCGAGCCTGAAAGCTCCCAAACCTAGAACCCGAACCCCATCAAAAACTTTAAAAACCAAATCAAAAACTCTCAAAACCCCAATCAAACCCTCCCAAACTTGGAACCATCAAACCCATCAAACCCGTCAAACCCGTCAAACCCGTCATCAAAGCCTACCGCCCCCGCGCGCCACGGGCGTCACCCCCGAGCTGATCGTCGAGCCCACAGCGAGCGAGCCCAAGCTCCGGGCCCCCCGGCGTTTTGGAAGACCTCGTCCCGGCGCACCTCCGACTTGATGAGGGTCCAGGCCTATGGCTCGGTGACCTACTTGGGGGTCCAGGCCTATGGCTCGGTGACCTACTTGGGGGTCCAGGCCTATGGCTCGGTCCAAAACCCTGGACTTTGGGGGATTTTGGGGGCCCCAAAATGGTGGTCTAGGTCCTCCAGTAGAGAGGTTAGAATAAGGGTACCAACTTTTTTCTATTTTGCCTATTTTAGTAGGGGAACCCTCCCCAAAAAAAATGCAAAAGGGCACATAGCTGGGGGACCTAGTGGTACTGTTGGTCTCCCCTTCAACCGGGAGAAGGTCAGCCTACATAAACGCACCCAGGATGACTGCGGAGTCATGGTTCTCCTAGAGAAATGCAGCCAGGTTGACTGCACTGTCATCGGGACCAAAGTGATCTGAGGAATTTAGAAAGTCGTTGGCTCACGCAAGATATACATCACTCCTTTCACACACATCCGGCAAGAAAACACACATTTTCAGGGATAGTGATATTGAAGCAGGCGTATAGCATATTTTCTGAGATAAGCTTTAGAACAACTTGCTGGTATTTGCTGGTTCTCAGTATATAGGAAAGTAACGCGGGGTTTTGGGAATGAATCAAGGGATCCAATTAAAGGAAACTAACAAGGGCATGGTTCACAGGAGCAATTCCCTCATTCCCTGCTGAGAAATCAGCAAGACAAAGTAGGTTTCTGACCGCAATGTTGAACTCTTGGCCGCGCAAGGGCTGCAATCCAACTTGCAGCGGCTCTGTCAGCAGACTTTGTGTTGAAACAGTATCAAGGATCCAGCTAAATCACCATCGACCATGGGGCCCATGGGGGGATGTTGGGTTCGCACGAGGGCCAAAGGCTGGAAAAGATTACTTTTTGCAAGGTCAAGCTGGTCGACTGAATGACACCAACGGCGTTCTTCGCCAATGGCATGGCGTCTTTTTTTCAATCAAACGGCGTTGTTTGCCGCTCACAGCTGCTATTGAATCCGTTGTTTGTGGGGACCAACCGCGTTCTTTGCTGCAACAGCGAAAACTAGTGCAACTTCAATCAGCAGCAGAAACTCAGCACCCCTGGTCTTTCCAGGCATGATGGGCGTGTCTTTATTTGAAAAGGAAACCAGTTGTTTTTGAGGGGTCCCCCAAAAAAGAGACATCCCCAGATCTTTGTCTGGCTTCTAAGCAAATGAGACATGGAGGATTCGTGAACACACGTATATTCATGTATACATATATATATATATAATCCAGTTGAAACAAATGAGATGGATGGACAAAAATCATTCACTCCCGGTCACTTCTCTCCCTCACAGATCCCAAGGAGAATGCAGCTGAGCTTGCCTCAAAATTCTAAAAGCCACCGGAAGTAGACCAAGACTGGCAAAGCCTTCGGTAAATCACTGCCCTAATTTGAAGCGTGAGGCAAAGCATGCTTCATTTGACCAGACCATGCAGAAGGAAGCCAAACTGAGCAGTTGGTTACCCAATAGTGGCTACATGTTGAAACAGTTGGGTGTCTTTTTAGGGACCCCGCCCACAAACAAAAAAGGAAAATCATAATGTGGTGGTCTTGTTGGCTTCCCTTTATTTTGAGGGCACACCGTTCTTCTTTTTTGTTAACAGTTGGTTGGACTCACCCTTTTGAGCTTCAGCTCGGTCCATTCACTTTGAGCCGCCTCTTCATCGCCCAGGATGCGCGCTGCTTCCTCATAGCTGGTGCCTGAACGAACAAAAACAAACATCGTGTTCAACTGCTCCATGGGTCGGGTTTCCACTGCCCCCAAAAGAGTACCCTTAGGGAACAGCTGTTTCGAAACATACCCTTTCACCGATTTGTATAGGCAGTGGTAGTCCCTCAAATCGGGAGTAGTGGTTTAAGAGATAAAGCGGGTATAGTGGAAAGCTCTAATAGAGCCTAGTCAATGTTGACTCCAGATCAATAAACCTCTGTTTATTCATATGGGGGTCTCCATTTCTAAGTTTCGTGGGGAATCAGACCACTTTTGCAGGGGCCAAAACCACCCCCATCAAAAAAATATATAAAAATCAGGGGTTGCTTAAAGTGGGGTCAACCTGCCATCTGCCAGGCGCCTTCTTTGGTTCACCGAGCCCAGCCTAGTGCATCAGGATCTGAAAACCGCTCCTGCCGAAGTTGGCCGTGCGGATCCCCAGCTTCTCACTTCCGCGGCTCGGCCCAAGAAAAAAAAAAAAAACGGCTCTTTTTCTTCACCCCAAAAATGACCCCAACCAAAAACACAACTAAAACAACAAAACAAAAACAAACCAAAAAGTTCTTCACCCCCTAAATGATCCAAACAAAAAAACACACACACAAAAAAGCGACTCGAGTCCAAGAACTTTTGGGAGAGCTCGGGAATCCCCAGTGAGCCTCGATGAGGCGCTCCAAGGCCACCGCGGCGTTCCGCGCCTTGGCCCTGGCCTGGCCGAGGCCGCTCGCCCGCCCAACACCCGGGTGACGCCCTGTGACCTCCGGTCTTCAGAGGCGCCCTCTCCACCAGAAAGAGCCGTCTTTAGGAAACAAGAAAGACTGGTTTTCGCTTCACGTGGCAAATGTCTAAAAAACTGATTTTGCTTCATTTGGCAAAAATGTCTCGTCCACATGCTTCTGGTGCTTTTTTGGGCGGCCTTGGGCGTCCTGTGTTGAACGCCCCGAGGGTGTGCGCTTGGGTTGCTCTTGGGAGCATGGTACACTCCACATGTGGCCTACATCTGCCATGGTCGAAACTCTTTGTGTGGGCCATGGTTATCAAAAATCCCCATGAAGGTGTTGACCCCCACCAACCCCACACAGAAGACAGAAGGACCACTTGAGTTTGGCCGCCATATCACATTTGCCTTTCATTCCTATTTGTCTAAATTCCCCTTGGAGGGGTCCATGACCAGTACCATTGCTTGATGTTACAGGGTGTCGAAAGTGGATAGGAAGCATTTGTTATTCTGTTATGCCCACCCCGCCATGCATCTGCAAATTCTGCAACCATTGAAAATCGGAAGTGAGAGTTGGATGCCTAGGAAAAGGGGACATGCATCGTGGATTTTCATGCGTTTTACCCCCGCATAAATGGAATCGCTCGAACCCACAGAAGGGATGCCACCTGCAAACTCCTAAAATGCCAAACCCTCAAACAAGGGATGTCCAAGTACAGGGCCTTCATCACGGTGAGCTTGTTTCACCCTCATGTAAGTTGCCTCAATTTCCAAGCCTTCTTTTGGCCAAGAATAACTTGGCCAACTCACAAAAATATGGTAGAACTCGGTCATACCGGTTCACCAAGGTAAACTTGGTTAAAGAAGGCCAGGGAATTCGGCAAACGCCATAACTTGGGGGTATCCGATCGCAGGAATCTCGCAGCACCCGGCCTGAGCCTCACTCTTCCGCAAGGCCATGCTCAAGAGCTCCTCGAGTCAATTCCCGAGTTTTGCTTCGAGCGAACCCCTCACCTTTTGCTTCGAGCGCAGGCAGGATGGTTTGCAGGCCACGAGTTGAGCTTTCCTTGGGACCTCCCTGCAAAAAAAAAGAGTGAACCTTTGGATTTTGAAGGAAAGGACCATGAAGAGCAGGTCACACAAGTGAAGGAGCAACACACCCCCTGATTAATAGACCTCCGTCAATAGGGGGGGGTACACCGCCCTATTCATCAACCAGGGGTGTATGAACTCTGGGGTTCCCATTCGCCTTCCAAGCACAAAAGGCAATTGGATTGCATGTTGCCCATCATAAAACGGATCTGGCTGAAACCCGCCAGCCGAAGGTGAGGGTTCTCCTCGAGACACTTTGGGTTAACCTGGCACGACGTAACCCGCAAAAAAGAAAGAAAGAAAGAACGAACGAAAGAAAGAAAGAAAGAAAAACAGAAAGAAATAATGACAGAAACAATAAGCCGGTTTTCAGAAACGGAACTTCCTTCTGGGGAGTGGCCTTGTAATCTTACCAAGGGAAACTATGGGAAACGCATAAATGTAACAGGGGCCTTGAAATGTAGGAGGCACACGTGAAAGCGTGCATCAAGGAATGAGGGCGTTCCAAATGCGGCTTTTCTGGGCCCTCGCAGTACAGCTCTCTTAAGCCAAGCATCTGCAAAGACTTGTCTCTGCACTTGCTCACCTTGGCTACGGCCGGCACGCGCTTGGGTTCAATGGAACGAAGGTGGCCCTCTGGCTGCCTCTGGCTGCTAATTCTGCAAACAACCTCTTTGAAGGGACCCGCAAGAACAGGACCACCATGGTGAGCTCGCTCCCCCAGGTGAGCTCGCAAACAATAGGCTGCTTAAATCCAGTATCCAGAGGCTATGCAAGATGCAGCATCCCGGGCTTGCAAATCAATGCCCGCACGCCTGAAAGCCGCGCGCCTATAAGCCAGAATGCTATGGTTTTAAAGGCAGTGCAACAATCAACCAGACAGCACAGAAGACCCCACCCCAACCCCTCACCAACAAGCATGGAAGGCTCTTTGTGAGAGGAAGGTCAAAGCTTCCACGGGCCCAAAAGACCACAGAAAAAGACCTAAAGATTCGGGCTTACCCTCGCCTAGGCCAATTGCCTCTAGTGACTCGGGCCCTTGGGGCAAGTTTGCCAAGTTGGCGGCCTTGGTTGGGGTCCTGAGAAAGAGAAAACCCATTGGCAGTCCGGGTTGGGTTCTAGGATTCGATGTTCGTTTAGTTTGCAAAGGTGGCTCCCTAGGTTGCCCACAGGTGGCCACAAGTTGACCATTTGGAAACTTCACCAAGAAAATCAATTAGGCTAAGGCTTGGCTTGCAACTGCGCTCACCCTAGTTCACAACTAAGGTCAGCCATCCACTCGCAGGCTGAGGCGAGAACGCACCATTGGTGCCCTTTTATCACTTTTGGAGCGATCCCACAACCCCCTTTTTTTATTGCTTGAGTTGATTGGGACAAGTTCTTCCAAGCAAAAGGGGCACTGCAGCTCCGGGTTCCCCACCCCCCCAAAGCCCCGGAACCCCACCCTTTTCGCACAAGGCGCTAACGCCGCTGGCCTGGGGCGCACTCTGCGCCACTTGTTGCACCCGGCGCCAATCCCAGGATGCCTCAGACGGCCGTTCCGGTGGGGGGGGGGGGTTGGCGGGTTTCCCCGGGTCCCTGCAAAAAGCTCAACAAAAACACGGGCGTGCGGGTGGGTCGTCTGTTCCTTGAAATTCCCACCTTTTGTAGGTGGTTTGAAAGGGAAACCGAAAGGAACACCAGCATCTTGGGTTGGTCCAGTAGAAAAAAAAAGACACACCCAACATTGGAACCGCCAAGCTTTTCGGGGGAACCGACATTTCGATGTGCGTCATCATCAACATATGCTATTACAATGGACTACCCAACACAGTGTGAAGCATTTGGAGGCAAGGTATCCGCACCTATTGTGGCACGGGCGGTCCTTGCTAATGTCTATATTGCTTGCATGTAGCCCCCATGTTTCGAGGTGTCGTAGGTTGAATGGGTCGCGTCCAACTGGCGAAAATCCAATCTTTATCGATCAGGTCTCGGTTCGGCTTCCCGCTCCAACCGGCGCAAAAGTGTGAAATGCTCCGCTGGCCAAGATGCATCGATGCGCTCCTCCAGGAATTCCTGCGATCGTATGATTGGTCCAAGCCAAAGATCATGCGACTGAACTCTGAGATGCTTGGGGCCACGCGCTTCATGCAAGCCTCGCTAGTGGAAGGATGCAACTACCTTCAGAAGTGAGCACGGAAAAGGGATGGGACGGTGCAACATGGTGAACGTTCCCAAAGCCAACAACTGTGTCTACCATAGATCTTGGAAGTAAGAAACGTGTCTACGTAATGATACACTGGTTGCTGTCCCAGTCAATTGAGGAGCGTTCATCGTGGTTAAGCTCCTGTTGCCACCGGGCGAGCTCCTCACAGTTAGTGCAAACCTTGCCCAAAGTCATTTGGGAAACTCCCAAAAGCCCAGGAAAAGATAAGGAAGAAACAAAGGGATCCTAATACAACGCCCAAACATGCAGCTACTTTAAGTTCGGTACTGCAAAGGGGCCGGGTGCTAAGAAGGAGGGGAGACATCAAACATGTCCCATCCCCTTTTGCTGTCCCTTTGAAAAAGTCAAATATCAGCTAGTGCAGTTGAAGTCGCCTCATGTATAGATCCTGTAGGGACCCTGTTTAACACCCAAACGGCGCCCAAAAACAGAGAGGTTAAGGCTAAGGCCAGGGTGTGAAAGGAGATGACTCAACCATAGAGGAGTTGCACCATCTACTTCCCCAATGTCAGGCGCAAACAAACATGATGCCAAGTATTTCACCTTTGGTTGGTTAAAAAAAGAAGCAGTCAGAATAATGGACCTTAGACTCCGTTGCCCCGTACCGACCCAGAAATCAAAGGTAATCACCTTTTGGTACCGCTAAAAACGGTTACCAAAAAGTTGGGACCATTCCAAAAAATGGACCAACGGGAAACCAAAAGGGCGATCCCTTTTGGGACCACTAAAATATGGACCAAATCTGAATTTGCTTCGGGCAAGTGAGGTGAGGCATGACTTGAGCAAGAAGGGGAACCAAATTTGTTAAAAGGTCGCCTCGCTTTGGACGACTCAGTCAGGAAAAAAAATAAAAATCGGAGTTCAGCCCCGCGTTCAGCGCCTGGAAGGCATTCCGGCGCTCGGTGGAGGTGTCCGGCAACGGCCGGTCGTCCAAGCCCGTGCTCTCCCCGCGGAGCTTGCGCCTAGGCCCGAGGGGCCGTCAAAACGCGCGTGTTCCCAAGAAACGATGGAACCAAAGAAGTCAGCTGCTGATTTTTGCGAAGATCAACGCACAAGTTTCTTTACAAAGCCTCCTTCAAGTTGGGATAGCCAGTACCTGGACCCTCGACCTACCCTGGGAATTTTGGGGCACCGCCTCAAAAGTGATGAGGCAGTATCACATGAGCAAGGTTTCAGGGTGGCCCCCGTTCTGTACCTCCACTTTCCGCGCATGAAGCCCCTCCCCCAGACTACCATGGAAGCTCCTTTGGAAGACCTCACTCCATTTCCAGAGGCCTTCTGGGAGCTTCCTTGTTAGTCTGAGGGAGTGGATTTTTTTGCCAGGGAAGCCACAAACAGAGGCCTCAATGTCACCACGGGCTCCAACCCACGAACAGGCAGGTGCACAGGCCTCATGTTCAAAGGAGAAAGCACCTGGGGCCCTGCCGAGGGATCGCGGAAAATGGCGTGGCTCCTTCTGAGGCATATCCATGGGAACCTCATCACTGCATCGCTCAACTCCCTTGATGTTAGAGAAGCCTGACCCTCAGACCCAGTTTCTGCAAACATGATACGCTGTGACCAATCAGTGATTACTGATACCATCGAAAAGGATTCTGCCCTATGCATAGGGCAGAGTGCTAACACACACCCCACAAAGTATCTGCGGTGGCTGCGTCAGGCCGTGGCGTGTTCTCTGTGCTTTTGTTGATCTTTGTCGGGTATTGGCTTGGGGGTTTCCAGGATTCGTACACCCTGGTTGATTCACAGCTTCAGTATAGGTTCGTCCACGCCATTTTAGGGGCTCGGAAGCTTTACTTTTGGGGAGGAACACGCAGGAGTCGAGCAGGTTGGAAGGACTCGGTGGCTTATCATTCCCATGAGTCCATGAGTTCCCGAAGGGTTTCTGAGAGGAAGCTATTAATATGGCAAAATATGTGCTTGAAAAGGCGGGCAATTGATCCTCGATCTAGGTTTGCAGGAACTTGCTCTGAAACACATCTGGTGCACATTCTTCACATCAGTCCGTTCAGGGAGGGTATGCGCCACCTAAACTGTCACTCTGTCCAAGGTATTAGCCTCAACTTGCTGGCTCTCAGCAGAGAATGAGGAAATGACCCTCCCCTATAGTTTCCTTTCAGGGAATCCCCTTCCGGTTGATTCCCAACACCCGGAACGGTCATTCCCTCCCCATTGCACCAGCAAGCAACTCCTATGAGAATTGATTCCCTGAAAGGACCTTCATCTTTAGCTCAGTGTCCCTCCGAATCGGTGAGCAGAGCCGTTCCCCCCATACAGTAGGTAACCAAGCATTTTCCTTTTAGTCTCTGAAGGGGTCTTGCATGTACATTGAGAAAACTTGTTCATCAAAATCAGCAGCACCCTATTCAGGGAAAAGGGGACCCGAAAAAGTGCTTCTTTTCTTCAATTCCATGCGCCCAACCACAAAAGTCACAAAAGTATACCCTAGGGTTCAGCCCCCAATAAAAGGATGGTTGAGCCAATTTGGATGATGACAATCCTTAGGTAAAAAAACATAGTGGTTGTATAAACCCCATGGTAAAAATAACGTATGCTGTGTCTTTTTGCCCCCCTCCAGAATGGTGATTTCCTCTTGGTTTCCCTGAAAAACCGCAACAAAAAGGCACAACAACAAACAACACAAAATACAAGGATGAAGAAGGTACCAACTCAAAAAAAAAAGAGAGAAAACAGGTACCAACTCAATAACAGCCAAAACAAAGGTACCAACTGAAAAAACCGAACACTCATTTGGAGATCTCAAGGCGCGTTCCGCTAACCAAACTTCATGGACGGTGTATACCGGCCTCCCCATCCCCCGCCCGCTGAGAACTCGGCAAGTCCGGGGGCATACTCCAGCAGCTCACTTTGGTCTCCTGCGCGGAACCGTCATTTTGTTCAAAACATCGAAGGGATACGAGAAGTAACATGAGATCACATGCCGTCAAGGCAAAGAGTTGTCTCTTTGCAAAGACTTGCTGCTACGAAACCATGTCTTTTGGCTTTGACATGAAAAGCCCAAGGCAAAGCACACCTAAAAAATATCAAACTATGGGCTCCGTACGAAAGACTAGTATATCCACCAGCTGCTCAATGATTCGGTGTTCCCCTGGTCTGCCTCGCTATGCTCGCTTTGCTGTCAGCGAGCGGGAGCCATCGATGCGAACAGGGGGCCTTGTTGTGGTAGAAGATGCGTCCGTCCCAAATCCTTGGCGCTTCGCGAAAGGAGTGCAGCCAAGATCCGCAATTTCCTTGGGGTCATGTTCACGGATCCATCTGGAAACCTATGCAAAATGGACAGCACGGCTCGGCCCAAAGTTTGTTTGCGTGCAACTCGAATGATGGTCCCAACAACTAAACCAAAGAACAACTCCGCAAAAGAACAACTAAGCCCAAATGGCCCAAATGGGTTTGTGCCGCTGTAATCCATCTTAAAGGTTTCTACGTACACGTCACGACAAATTCGACAAGTGCACGAGGGGCACGCCTCATCCAGAAGCCCACAGGCTCCAACTACCCATTTAGGGCTCAGAAGGCCTTGTGCGTAGACCCCTTGGTGGGGAGCCAAACAGAAACCAACCTGAAGGGGTCTAACTGCACCCATGGCCAAGTCCAACATAGTCCGTGTTGCTGCCAAGATCGCTCGAGTATTGAGTTCAGAACACGGCTTGGGAGTTCGCGATTCTCTACCTCGCCCTTTTTGCTGACGACGGGGGAAGCAAGCTACGCACTGGAGGGTACCTGGATCTTCCTCGCGGCAATCCATGAGCCCTAGCCATTCAGCTCGAGCGGCTGGGCAGGGTTGCCCGAGTGCTAAAGGAATGCAACTGTTGGAACGCGCAAATCCAGTCGCAACCAGCAAAAGGGTTAACTGGTCGCGGGGGGGCCCGCCTTGGGATTTCAAGTACAGCGACTTGGAGCCATTTCTTTTCGGGGCTCGTCTTCCCGAACCGCCTGGAAAACCCACCCTCCAACCAGAGGCTCCGATACTGCTTCCAAGCAGTGGAGTTCACCAGCTTCTCACCCTCGGACATGAGAGACTCGGGCTTCTCCCATTGGGAGACCCCGGTGTCCTCGGAGAAACCGGCTTCGGCGAGCCGAGCCGATGGATCGGTTTTCTCGAGCCAAGTCGAGCAGAATCTGCGGTTTCGGGCGCCCTGCGCGGAGTCAGCCAATCAGCCAATCAGCCAATCGACCCCACCACTCATCGCGCCCCGTGCTTCTTGCGGTCGACATATGGAAGTCTCCCCATGCCCCGATCCCCAAATGGACCATGGTCTGCATATCTTGACGGATCTCCGACGCTGATGCCATCGGCCAGTTCGCGGACTTTGGAGCTTCAGCTTGGCAAAGAGTAGCCGCCGCGCCACCATGTAAACATGCACTACACCACAACAATCAGCAACCCACCATGTGTTTCTTGTTGATGGCCTAGGCTGCTAGCCTTACAGCCAGTGTACTTTTCATGTTCCAAGTGAATCCCACTGCTATCCAAAAGCTGTCTTTCCAACTCTGAAGGCTTGTGCTATTGGTTACCTACTGCAGGATCAGTAGGCTCACTGGGACTTACCCACAAACGGACAGGCTGCTGACCGAAATCCGGGCGGGGATTGTCCTACAGAGTGCGGGGGTGCCCTGTTCTTCTTGGAAGGCCACAAATCCAGACCTGCAATCAGTTTTGATCAGAGGTTTGTGAACACTCCCTTTGGACTGGGAAGGGGGCCTGGAAGTCCCAAACGCCTCACAGGCCCCTGAGTTCCATATCCCGGCACGGACCAACTTCTACACGCCGATCGTGGTTCTCGGAGGCAGCAATAAGCCTCAAAACAATATGCCTCAAAAGGGTGTTCAAAACAACCAAAAAGGAAATAGAAGGGCCCCAGTCAATTCAGAAACTGCCATGTCAAACCAGTCTGCACTGGTTTTTGGCAGGTGAACCCCTGCAACACACAATGGAACACGGGGAAAAAGGGGAGGGTGGCACCGCAAACAATAAAAAAAACACGGCGTCCCCGAAATCGCCTCGTTGTGGAAGAACTTCCGGCCATCGCCCGTCTGGTGCTCGCTCCATCCCTCGCCGCCTTGCCTGAGTCGCTCAGGCCAGGTGTCCATGGTTCAGGGGTGCCTTTGGCTCTTGAACTGGCTTAGGGAGGCCAGTGGCTCTTGAACTGGCTTAGGGAGGCCCAAAGGAAAACCACCATTCAAGGTTTCGAGCTACCTCCTTTTTGGCACCTTCGAAAGTGGCGATCGTTCCAATGGCAACCTCACTTCCTGAGTGGCCAAGAAAAGTCTGAAGCTTCTCTATCACTAGAATGGCAGAGGTCAGGTCCAGAAACCGGGGATTGAGGTTCAGCCAAGCAAAACCAACCCGGTACAACTCCGCGCGCTAAGATTCGCACCACACGGCCATCCTAAAAAAGTGAACTGGTCCAAAGATGCGGAAAGACCTGATCAAAGCAATACCCAAGCAACAAATTGTTACCATCCATTTATCAACTGCAATCGGGTTCAAACAATGCCCGCATGTCGGTGACAATCACCATTGATAGGAATCCCCAATGACTAAGTCCTCGCTTACAGAAAAGAAACAGTCCCCTGGCATCACACATAGCAGCAGGCATCTACCCCTCTGCCAACACTACCCTAGGCATCCATCCCCAATAACTTCTTGGCCATACAACATCCCCAATAACTTCTTAGACATATAACGCTACTCCAGCTGGTCTGACAGAAGTGAGAACAAGCAACTCATTCCCACCCGTCCAGTGGGAAAATGTAGTCACCACTTGTTTTTCCACCCTGAGCCTCCCCTCCAATTAGTTCTATCCTCCCCCACCACAAAACCCAAACAACTACGTACATGAACATGCAAACTATAAACCTAAAACTATCGCCACTACTTCGTCCAATGCTACTTTCTTCCATAGCTTCAATCATTATCACAGCAACAATCTAAAACATCAGAAATCCAGTGCAAAACATTCGAGGGTAATATGAGGGTAATATGTATAGGGTGCTGCTCAAAATAGGGGACTCTTAAAACATGTAATTTTTCGTTTGTTCCCCCAACAAGGGCACGCATAGCTGATATTTGCTGACAAGCAACCTCCCCCCGCCCCCCCCCCCCCCCAAAAAAAAAAAAAAAAACTCCTCCCAAAAAACTTCATGTTCAGCTTAAATTTACTAACATCATTGCTCGTTCACGATCTCTGCAACCCAGCCAGCTAAGGGAGCTTGATATGGGTGTTGCTACCGCAGGTTTTAGTCTACTTTTGCATTTACCCGACCAAACCCTAAAGCCCCCAAACCCCAACAACCCACTCCAAGCCCCCGCTCCGACCCCAACAACCCCACCCCACCCACAGTTCACCTCCCAACCCCCAAAAAACACATCCGCCCCCACCAGGGTTGTGGGCTCAAGGGGTGTATTCCCACTTCTGTGATACTTCTGGGAATCTCCCCCTTTATGTGGGGGGTTAGTCTTTGGGAAGTCCTTGTTGATGTATCACAGAAGTGGTCATTTGGCTGTGGCTCGAAAAAAAGGTATTAAAATGGGTTGCCCTGGCAAGTGAAAACAAAGGCCAAAACCAGCGGTTTGCCCCTCCTGATTAATTTTGAACCACACCCGTTTCCCACCTGGCTTGGTTGTTGACCCCCCTGCAAAAAGTTTAACTTTTTTGTGTTTAGTGGAAAACACCTTTATTTCCCAAAAAGTTAAAGTCTAAAGATCCAACCCAACAGCAATCAAGCTGGCCCCCCCCCCAGCCCGGGCTCCCGGCAGCTGCCGCTGCAGCAGCGCCGCCGCGGCGGCGCCCGCCGCCGCCGCGGCGCTGGGAGCCGCCATCGGGGGCCACGGGCGCCTGGCCGCGAAGGCTCTGGGAGGCTCTGGGAGGCCCAGGCGCGGGTGGCAACTGGAGGTAGGCCAACTGGAGGTGCCTAGTTCGGGCGTGCTTGAAATGGTCTTCCCTAAACTTGCAGGGGTTTTCTCTCATGTTTCTTGCTCCCCTATGAACTAAAGGGGTCTTGAAGGTGCGGGTCTTTGGGAGGGGTGTGGAAGTGTCCGTGAAAAAGGTTGGTGCACAAAGCGCCAAACATTGGCTTCGCTAATTCGGCGCTAATCCTTGACAAGGGCCAGGGCAAAACCGAATCAAAACAGCAAATAACCCAACTGATGCTTACGAAAACCCTAGTTAGGGCTGGCTCACCAAATCATTTTCTCTCATGGGATTTGATCCAGGACTTCCTTCAACATGTGGAACAATCAGATCCCCTAAAAAGCGGCCAGGAGAGTTTCGACAGGTTGCAACATCTCTTGAAACAACGATGCCCAAACCATTGTTGAAGGAACCAACAGGAGGCCCCAAAACCCTTCACGGAGTACACCACAAACAAGTTTTTTTTGTTTATTTTTTCCTGATTTGATGTCGTATTTAGCCTACCCAAACATAAAGGTGGAATGAGACCCAAATGTGGGAAAACTTGGGAGCAAGGGTAACCCATACGGGACGTTTGTCTTTGAGCGCACCTTTTTGGGTTGCTTTAACGGAAACCAATGGGAAAACCACAAGTTGTGAGCACCCTGTAGACACGCCATAAAGCCAAGGTCAATTTGGGCTGAGTCTTGCCTGCTAGCCATGCGACACCCGCTTGCTTGCAACCAATCGGCTTGGAAAGAAAAGGTCATCTTCCGGGTCATGACATGGGTGTTGCCACTGGCATACAGTGGATGCTATCGCAAGTGGTTCCACCACATCCAACCACAAAACCCTGGTAAACTGCGGTGACCTAAGCTCGCGCTTTCATTTTACATAGGGCACGCATCGTACCGAAAGCTCAGGTGGTCGATTTGGAGCACAGATTTGCCTGAAGCCTTTTGAGTGGGGGCCCGTGACCTCAGCGGCTTGGAACTCGCGCATTCCAAATGAGCAGCACCCAACACCCCTTGACGCTTGGTTCGCAAAAGCACTCAGTGACTCATGGCCTGAACTGCCCATGTTTGAATATCCCTTTGTGGAAGGGAGTCAGGGGCCGGCGATTCCACTTACTTGTTCTAGTCTTGCTGTCAAAAGGGTCAATTGAAGCATTACTGGAGACCACCAAGGGTAAATGCCCCCCCAATCAGCCAATGTTAAAGGACTAGGTGGGCATGCTTCAACTGCGGCCGACCTCAAGGAAGCACTTGCCTCAGCCTGCTTTACTCCCGAGCTGCGCGCCTTCTGCGCAACCCCTCCCGGCGCGGGCAAACGGGAAGAGCCAAGTAAGGGCCGTTGCAAGAGTTCGAGCGACCGGCACACGACATGCTTGCAGAAAGCGACGGCTTTGCCCTCGAACCATCGCAGCATGTTGCTTTTTATAAGGAGTTCGCACCAGCATTGCCAAACACCCATTGATTTTGGGATATACCAACATGGCTATACAGGTCTGGCCAGCCCTACGAAGCGTGGGTGGTTCATAATTACCAGTCTTCATAGTGGTTCATCCTAGTATTCATAGGGGTTCATTGATCCCAACTGATGCAGATGTTTGTCCATCCCCTGTGTTCACTCAATGGGCACAGGAAGGGGCGATCGGGTACTTAGTGAGTGGTGACTAGGCCTGGTGATAACCCACAAAAGCCATGTCTATAAGTCTCCGTTCAGTGGGTTAGAACCAGGCGTACTCACTTACTGCCATTTGCTTAAGCCCCCTGGGGAAAATCTGTCCAGTCTCCTTTGCAGCCAACCTGGGAACATTTATTTTAAAAAAAAACAACAACATATTCTTAAGCAAATGGAAGCTTACTCAGTACCCGATCGCCCCTTTAAGTACGCCCCTTGCTCCGGCCAGCCCCACTTTTTGCCGGCTGCGGCTGCGGCTGCGGCTGGGGTTCAAGCCCCTCAGTACCTCCCCACAGTTCACCACCCTCACCTCCTCACAGGGGGGGGGCTGGGGATTTGGGTCCGGGTCCCGCAATGTGGGCACAAAATTAAGCCAGGAACCACAAAAAAACCTCGGGTTTTCGCCCACCAAAAAGCCTCAGGTTTCAACCCATGCTTCTCCATTTTTGGGTTACCCATCTTTATCCCACAGCCATCTGGAGAAATGGGTTGGGGCCCCATTCTCGTTCCCAATGGGCTGACCTTCCAGCTCCGCATTTTTTGGGACCTCTCACGTCTTTGGCTCGATTGAGGGGAGCGACGCGTTCCCCCACTTAACCCCTCTGCCGTGCCAATTTGAAGCCAACCTGAGCCTCGTGTCCCCGGCTTGGGCCACATCCCCCTTTGACACCAGGGGGATGTTTTTTGCTGGGAATATGTTCAGAAAAGGTACTCGGAAAGTGACATCTCAAGTGCGGAGGTGAAATTGCAAAAATGAATTCAAGTGCAAAAGGTTAAGAGTCGATTTGGGTTGGAGTGAGACATGAGCTGGTATTTGTGTGGATGGTTCATGTGGCCTTGGAGGGGCGTAGAAATCAAAGAAGTTAACCTGCAGGTGTCAAAAGTTAAGGCAGAGTTTATAAACAACCTAAGCTGACATGGAAGTTGCCATCTGCCTTTTTACAGGGAATGTCGTCCTGAGGGTCCTGAAAGCTTTCATGTTGGCCTGAGAGAGGGTACTTACTTCGGAACCCCCTAAATAGGGATCCAAGACGGTGTTCCTCATATTTTCCCTTGAAACATCACCCCATCCAAAGGATTCTCGCTTCAAACGGCATCCAAAAAGTATTAAAACTGTTCCAAAAGACTACCACTCAAGCACAAACGGCTGGTGTGTTAAACAACAAGATTTCAGCCATATTCAGCCAAGAAGTCCCCCCCGTTAATGGGGGCTCCCCTCAAAAACAAAAAAACAAACAAACAAAACAAAAACCGTATAGGAAACCCACCATTTGATGGGGGCTCCCCTAGACCCCAAAAAACAAAAAAGAACTACCACCCAATATAGGAAACCCCCTCAAAAAAAACAACAGCCCCCCTCAAAAAATATCAAACAAACACCCAATATAGGCCAGGTCCTCCAGTAGAGAGGTTAGACTAAGGGTTCCCTTTTGTCTTGAGTCTATTGTAGTAGAAGAACCCTCCCCAAAAAAAAAAGAAACAGTAAAAGAAATGGCACTGGGGGACCTAGTAGAGAACCCTGAGTCAGCCGAGTCCTTGCACTCGGAGTTGTGGGCATCGCGGATGTGCTGCAGAAAGGCTTCCCCCTGCACCAGGCGTCCAAAGGCTCGGTGCTCGCGGTCCAGGCGCGGCAAAGGCGCCAAGGTCAGCAAATAGCCTGCCGCCCCCCAAGTTCCACTGCGTCTTTTTCTGGAATTCCGGTGGGTTTTTTCTGGGTTTCCGGTGGGCTCCTAGGATACTTTCAAACAAATGGATCTGCAAATCAGCTGGTGATGGAATCGCTGAGTTCTAAGTAGCCCAAAACAAAAGCGCATCCCTTTGCGCAGCGTTTCTGGGGGCTTCTCCAAACACCTGCGGAAAGAACAACCCCGGGCCAAAATGCGACGTCGACGTCGGGGTTCCTGCGAAGTCTGCCCCGCGGGCCACTGACAACATGCCCGGCTCCGTGTGCTTCATGCCACAGCCGGTCTCCGCTTGTGGCTCCCCTGGCAGATTCCGAGCACAGAGGTAGGCTCAAAGAAAAGCACGGAAAGAAGCAGAGACACAAACGATTCAAGCAACAAGCAACCAACAACCAAACAACCAAACAACCAAACAACCAAACAAACAAACAAACAGACAAACAGACAAACAGACAAACAGACAAACAAACAAACAGGCAGGCAGGCAGGCAGACAGACAGACAAACAGACTGACTAACAGACAAACAACAAACAGACTGACTAACAAACAGGCAGCGGGCAGGCAGGCAGGCAAGCACAAACACACAAACAAACAACAAAACAAACAAACAACACACAGGCAAGCTCCAAGACACGTGCACAAACACACGAGCAACTTATGCATTTACAACTCACACGCAACATGCGCACGACCAAACGAACAAGCAAGCAAGCAAGCAAGCAAGCAAGCAAGCAAGCAAGCAAGCAAGCAAGCAAGCAAGCAAGCAAAGCAAGCAAGCAAGCAAGCAAGCAAGCAAGCAAGCAAGCAAGCAAGCAAGCAAGCAAGCAAGCAAGCAAGCAAGCAAGCAAGCAAGAGAGCAAGCAAGCAAGCAAGCCAGCCAGCAACCAAGCAAGCACCCATGCAGGCAAGCAGGTGGGAAGGCAATCAAGCAACCAAGCAACCAAGCAAACAAGCAACCAAGCAACCAAGCAACCAAGCAACCACAGACGCACACAGGCACACACACACACAAGCGCACAACACGCACCCACGCAAGACACGTACACACACACAAGAAAACTCCCACCCAAAGAAACCCAGCCATTCGATCTAGCATCGGGTCGTTTGTGCTTCTCATGATGCTGGTCTGGGTGATTCCGGTCATAGGACTTGATGCTACTAGGCCTGCTGCGCGTACCTGGAAAACGCAAGGCACTCAGCGTGCAGAACAAGTACAATGAGTTGCTTCAAGTGACTCATGCAACATATGCCCAGCGGCTCCCAGACATACTGTCTGCAGGCACTGAGTGCGTCCCACAAATACTTGACTCACCCCACTGCAGAATGTGCCCCAGGCTCATTAAGGGGTGTGGCACAAGGGCGGGTGTGTAGCTTGTCTTCGGTTAAGGTTTGAGAGGTCCCCGCGCTTTTCCTGGCGTGTGAGTCTAGCTGTACTTCTCGCATTGGCAGCAAACCCATACAACTTGGGTTCTAAAAGAATAATCGGTTGCAAGCAATGGAAAAGTGACTGTGTCTCGTTCGGTCGTTCCTTCCTTCGGGTGTTTGCTCACTCGTTTGCTTGTTCGTTCGTTCAGGTAGTATGCTGTACTTTTGCTTGTTTGCCTGCTTGCTTCTCCCAAACGCACTGACCAACCAACAAACCGAGCAACCCACCAACCAACCATCCAAGAAACCAGGCAACCAACCAACCAACCAACCAACCAACCAACCACCCAACCAACCAACCAACCAACCAACCAACCAACCAACCATCCAACCATCCAACCATCCAACCATCCAACCATCCAACCATCCAACCATCCAACCATCCAACCATCCAACCATCCAGGCAACCAGGCAACCAGGCAACCAGGCAACCAAGCAAACAGGCAACCAGGCAACAAACCAACAAACCAACCAACCAACCAACCAACCAACCAACCAACCATCCAACCATCCAAGCAATCAACCAACCAACCAACCAACCAACCAACCATCTAACCATCCAAGCAACCAGGCAATCATGCAAGCAACCAGGCAACTAACGAACAAACCAACCAACCAACCAACCAACCAACCAACCAACCAACCAACCATTCAAGCAACCATCCACCCATCCAACCATCCAACCATCCAAGCAACCAGGCAATCAACCAGCCAACTAACGAACAAACCAACCAACCAACCAACCAACCAACCAACCATCCAACCAAGCAACCATCCAACCATCCAACCATCCAAGCAACCAGGCAATCATCCAAGCAACCAGGCAACCAACCAAGCAACCATCCAACCATCCAACCATCCAACCATCCAAGCAACCAGGCAATCATCCAAGCAACCAGGCAACCAACCAACCAACCATCCAACCATCCAACCAACCAACCAACCAAGCAACCAGGCAATCAACCAGCCAGCTAACGAACAAACCAACCAACCAACCAACCAACCATCCAAGCAACCAGGCAATCATCCAAGCAACAAACCAACCAACAAACCAACCAACAACCAAACCAACCAACCAACCAACCAACCAACCAACCAACCAACCAACCAACCAACCAACCAACCAACCAACCATCTAACCATCCAAGCAACCAAGCAACCATCCAAGCAACCATCCAAGCAACCATCCAAGCAACCATCCAAGCAACCATCCAAGCAACCATCCAAGCAACCATCCAAGCAACCATCCAAGCAACCATCCAAGCAACCAGGCAATCAACCAGCCATCCAACCATCCAAGCAACCAGGCAATCAACCAGCCAACCAACCATCCAAGCAACCATGCAACCAACCAACAAACCAACCAACCAACCAACCAACCAACCAACCAACCAACCAACCAACCAACCAATCAACCATCCAACCATCCAACCATCCAACCATCCAACCATCCAACCATCCAACCAACCATCCAACCATCCACCATCCAAGCAACCAGGCAATCATCCAAGCAACGAGGCAACCAACCAACAAACCAACCAAGCAACCTGGTATCCAACCAACCATCCACGCAACCAGGCAACCAACCAACAAACCAACCAACCAACCATCCAACCATCCAACCATCCAACCATCGAACCATCCAACCATCCAAGCAACCAGGCAATCATCCAAGCAACCAGGCAACCAACCAACAAACCAACCAAGCAACCTGGTATCCAACCAACCATCCACGCAACCAGGCAACCAACCATCCAACCAACCAACCAACAAACAACCAACCAACCAAGCAACCAACTAACCAACCAACCAACCATCTAACCATCCAAGCAACCAAGCAACCAAGCAACCAACCAACAAACCAACCAAGCAACCTGGTATCCAACCATCCAAGCAACCAGGCAACCCACCACCCATCCAACCAACCAACAAATAGACAAACCAACAAACAAACAACCAAACCAAAACACGGGTAGGTCCGTTTTCCGACACCCAAAGCTGGGCGCTCGCGCCCAGGTCCCCGCCCTCCAAGGTGGCCAGGCTTTGAGTCACCTGGAGGATTGTGTGTCCGTTTTTGAGGGTATCCCTTCGGAGGGGTCAACAGAGATAGGTGTGGTTCCTGTTGCTTTCTTCTGGTACTCCCTTTTTCGGAGTTGTATTTTTTGGAAATCAAATGGAATTCATCATTTGGAGGGTCCCCTAAACAAGATCACCCCCAATTTTGTCTTTTATACCCAAATCGTATGGTTGGACACATGGAATTGGGCTGACCCCCCACTTTTACCGGCGTTAGCCAAGGGAACAATCCTTTCAAAGACCCCTTCAGAGATTCAATCAAACATACCTGGTTGCCTACATGCGAGCGGGATGGGGCGGGGGGGGGGGTGGACTGCTCGGCTCACCGATTCGGAAGTAAACCGGAGCTAAAGATAAAGGTCCTTCCAGAGAATCGCTTCTAGGAATTGCTTGCTGGTGCGATAGGTAGGGAACAACCTTCCGGGTGGGAATGAACAAGGGGCTTCACTGAAAGGAAACCATAGGGGATAGTTTTTGGGGGCATTCCCTCATTCCCTGCTGACCAGCAACGAAAACTGGTCTCATTTACCCAAACCCTAGCCCACGGCCCTAAAGGGCCTTGAACCCCCAGGGCCTCAACTAAGGTTCTTGGGCTTTTCGGGAAAGGACTTGATGGAAATGGCTTCCCTTGAGTCAGGAAACGACCAATTGGTGGTTTGGAAAATACGGTTTGGGAACTGGAACCGGTTCTTGTGGATGGTATCAGTTGCCCACAGGACCCGGACATAAAAGTGATCACCTTTGGGGGCCATCATTCGAAATGGACCAACGTGGGAAAACCAACCGGTGTCAAGGCAAATGAGCTGTTAATTGTGCATGGTAGACCCAAACCATGACCATGTTTTCCCGGTAACCTTGTCCATGGTCCATTAATTTTGCCCGCTAAGGTTGGATTGCCGTGTTCGAAAGCAGCTGGAGTGTCCACATTGCAAAATACTCAAAACAACTCAAAAACTAGGATGTCCTGTCGACTGTTCTGTGGGGCTCCCTTGTTGAAACAAACGCCATTCAGTTTCCCTATCATGCTTCCGCTTTGGCCTGGCCACTTGCACGTTGTGATTCAGGGTGCATGGTTTAAAGGTGGCCATGTGCCTCAACTGACTTCTTGAGAGGAGTGGCCGAAACAAGCTCTTACCTTGCAACTAAGTTGTCTTCCAGCAAGTATAGGCTCCAAGAAACCGGGGAAGTGAGTTCTGAGCGAATCAAACTCCTTTTAGCGTCCATGTGCAAGGGTCATTGGCCCTCCTAACTTCCAAAACACCAGTGGGGAGCCTCTTGGTGTGGTCTGGCTGTTTTGCAACATGTTGCACACCCTGACTCCCATCCCCCTCAAAAAATGGTTCGTTCGTTCTTGTGAGAACCTTCATCTACCAGGGTTTTGATTGTGGCTCAGATGTTGCCACTCGGAGCCACCGAGTCGCCTGCAGGCGCCGGTCCCTGAGCCGCAAAGCTGCGCAGTCCTCCAGCAGCCGCCGAACCGCTTTGGGCGCCACCTGCGTCGAAAGAAACTGCTTCTGTGCCCTTTTAGCCACCGTTTGGAGGGAAATCATGTTCGCTCCAGTCGGATGGATGAAGCCCTGAGAAGATTGGTGTGCGTGTGTGTGTTTAGGAAAGACTAAAAATAATGAAGACATGGCTTTGTGCTTATCGCGCATGTGGGAGAGGCAAACAAGCCACCTTCATAAACACACCTCCAGTTTGGGCATGCTTTTGCCCAGGCGTGTTTGTGGACCCGGTCACCCGAGGTTCCTTGAAGGATACATCGATTCACCTGCGTCAAGGATTTGGATCTAGTAGACTCCAGCGCTGGTCTTTGGGTGTTTCGTTGGCCCATGTTTCCGCTCCAGGCCTTCGATGTTTCAAGATGGGCACGTGCTGGGGGTCCCCTCAGCCGATCCATTCGGAGCCCACTTCAAACTTCGAGGGGATCCATGCTGATTGACCACTGCTAAGAGGTGCCTGGAGTCTCCATGACCCTGTAAAAATGGGGCAATGACCTCATTTATTTGGGGTAATGACCAATTTTTTAAGGGTCATGGAGACGCCAGGTGCTTCCATTTCCTAAAAAATCTCGTGACTTTCTGCGGCGTCGCCTCGGGGAAGAGTTCGAACTCCAAGGACTGCTGATGGTCCACCCCGAAGAAAGCTCCGCGGAAGATGGCGATCCTCAGCGTAACTGATAACATCCCAGGCCATCGCTCCCTGCAACAGACCATGAACCCGAGAAAACATTTTCCGGTTGCTCTAGGGGTTGTTTCCCCATTCTTTTCCACCATCGTTCTTTTCGAAAACCAGCCGTTTTCCTTGGGTTTCTGGAGGTTTTCTAGCTCGAAGGATCCCTGGAAAGAACCGGGGAGGTACCCCTAGAGTTGTAGAGGAAACTCCGATTGGGGGGTGGTTTTTCTTCTCTGGGAATCCATGTTAACTTGCGGGTATGTCAACTATAATGAAAAATCCTCGGCTACACCCAACAATACCTACGCTAGAAGGGGGAACCCAAAGAATATCAAGATGTACCTGACATTCGTCCCAAACATCTGCTGGTGCTCAGGGAATGCGGGAATGAACCAAGAAATTTGCTTGCGCACCAAGACTTTTGCCCTTGCCCCTTCTTTATCTCACAGGTGCGCGACCGCCCGTCAAAGTGATGACCCTTGGTTTGTTTCTGGGCTGATTTCTCCGTTCTCCCGACCCCCTGGCAATACATGAGGGCCCCCTCCCATACATGTTTTCCATTTACCCACAAAACAACTATGGGAAATTGTATAAAGAGAGCACCCTCCCTGGGATCCCACCTGAAAAATGAAGGCCTTTGTCCCCAAAGGACCTCAAATCCCCCTGCCAAAAGTGTAACTTTTCGTGGGCTTAATGGAAAACTCCTGGCAAAACGTTAAAGTCCTAACATCCAAGCAAAATGTACCAAAGTTTATATGAATGATCGTTGTCCTGGGTCACCATGCTAGAGTGGAGATTGCTGCTGGGCATCTCCAAAAAGACCTTTGGCCTCCCGGTGGTCGCGCTCTGCTTGGGAGAAGCGGAGACGGCCTGGCCAAGTGACGTCCAAGCACAAGTTCTGTGTATGTCCTCGTTAACTTACCCCTTAAAACTCCGAGGATTGGGGAAGTTAACCTTTTACAAACATATAGCTCATGTTACCCAAAAAGTTGAAAAGTTGTGTTTTTAAGAGGTAAGTTAAACATCACCCCGCCGAAACACAGTGCCCCGCACAAACTTGGATCTTGTGTCGAAGAATTTTGGCACTGACCGAGCTGAAACCTTGTCAAAAAGAAGTGTTTTTTGCTTCCCTCTCATTGGTGGTTTGGATTGGTGGTTCGGTGGTGAAATGGAGGGATTTCCCACACAAGAACCAGGAACCAGGGGCTCAAATCCAAATCCAAACCACCAATTCAGGGTTCCCTGTGGCACTCTCTCAAAACACTTCAAAACACTTTGTTTTGCAGCCCACTAAAAATGAACGGAACCAACAAAAACACCCAAAAACAAAAACTTGCCAAGAGCGGTTTGTTTTGTAGCTTGCAATTTTCCAAGCTGCAAAAGCGCGAAGCCCAGATAGGGCTCCCTAAAAACATCACCCCCACCCGCCCCCACCCAGGGATACTCACCTTTCATGGGCCAAAAAGCTGATGATTAAAACCACCAAACCGAGAGAGAAGAGAAGCCCCAGCGACGTTGGCGGCTGCGGGAAGCCGAGGGACGATGTCGTCCGGCCCAAGAAGCTGATATATAGCCTGTGGGTCGAACATAGGTACCCCAAAGTGGAACCCAGGTAAATAGAAACAAGTGCTGAAACCTAAATGTCTAAAATGGAGACCCTATGGAGAAAAACAAGTACTGAGACTTGTGGTCCCCTACAAGCGGGCGTCGTAAGACACCCCACGTCAAGTTAAGTCACCCCAGCCTTTGGGGCAAATGATGAAATGCTTTGTTTCAAACCATGCCAGCGTTCAACCCTAAACTTAGGATGTACCTCAGTCAATGGCAAGGAAGAATGTAAGATACTGCAACAGTTGACCCATGAAAGGGGTGGATTGTTCAAACCCCGTTGGGCCAGGCCCACAAGAAAAGCGATTGAAGAAAGGGGAATCCATGCCCTTTCATTTGTTGGGTCCGCCAACCCCCCCCCTCCTCTGTAGTCCCAGACCCTGGGGTTCCGGGGCTGCCCTCAGATCCCCTGCTAAAAGTCTATTGTTTAGTGGATGAAATGTAAATTTACACTAAACCAACTAAAAAAGCTTTGGAACCGGATGGCTGGGAGCCAGCAAGGCGAGTGTTTGGTTGCCCCGTCAGAACCCTACGTGCCACAGGCGTCACATCCTCCCCGCCTCTGGCGACGCGGGTGGCTCAAAGTGCGAGGCAGGAGCCTGGCGGCTGGCGGATGCGGTCGGTTGGCACTGCTCTCCAATCCAAAGGCCCTGGGCTATCAAGCGGATGTTTAACTTCTGGGAAAAGAGACATACCTGGGTCTTCCAACATGTGCAAAATTATTGCTGCTTTGTCAAAAACTATGTTTTTTGACCCAACGGCGATTATTTTCGCCTGCCGGCAGTTTTCAGTGTTTGCACACTCTAGCATCAATCAAAATTGCAAAACGGCGTAATTTGCCGTCAAAACGGCGTAATTTGCCGGCGAAACGGCGTTTTTTTTTGCCTGGTTCCGAGCTGGACTCACGGCGAGCGCTTTTTCTCCGAAAGAGCTTTTTTTCAGCAACCGGCGAAAATTATTGCTGTTTTGGGAAACGGCGTTAATTTTACATGTTGGAAGGTCCAGGTATGCTCTTGTTTCCAAACAAAAACACAGGGGTCTTTTTGCCACCTTTTGTGTGAAAACTGGCGACCCCCTCAAAAAGGAATCCTTCACTACAAGGGGGTCGATCATTTTTCCACCAAAGGTGGCAAAAAGACCCCCTGAACAAAAATGATTAGCCGATTTTGATCTAGAAGCTCACGGCAGGTGCTTTTCCAAGCTGATTAGACTGCCTGCAACTAGCAACAGATAGCAAATAATCACTAGCGGGTTCTAACCTCCAATAGAACAGTCAGTTCTGGAGCTCCAACTAAGGTCCAAATAGGCCCAGGAGCAACCCTCGCAACTCTTCGGGAATAAAAAGCCAAAGGTTGCAGCTGGGAAACAAGCATACAAAAAGCACCTGCCGATTCGTCCAGCGGGAGCCTCCAACATGGAAGGCTCCTTCCTGGTTTCCCCAAAGAACCACCCAAGGGCACAACGAAAACACCCAACGTACTTTCTTTAACGGGCTGCTTGGCGACTTCCATGCAGATCTCAGCAACAGTTCCATTTTTGTTGTCCCCAAACCCGGCAAATACCAGGGAACAAATCCAAGGATGTTGTACATACATCATGGGAAAATTCCTTGGAACACCCAAACAAGTCCAAAGTAAGCAAACGTGACAGGCGAATAAGCTGAAGAACAACTTCCCATGCGGTGCGATGCTGATGAGTATGGATCACCTCATGGCGGTGATCCCGATTCCCTCAAGATGGGGGCAACCAGGGGTTGTCAAAACTGGGCTGCTCTCAGGTCCCCTGCGAAAAGTTTTTGACTTTTGGTGGGTTAGATGGACATCTCCGCGGAGCCCTAAAAAGTAAAAAGGCTAAGGGCATGGCTGGGAGCCACCAAGAAAAGTATTGCCCGTTTTTGGGCCCTGGTGCGGACTTGGGCAAGCGCCCAACGAATCCATTCCAAACCCCTTAGTGAAATGTGAGCGCCTAGGAAGCTGTCGTTTCAAGGGGATGCCAAGGGACACGAATTTGGACACCCAGTGAATTAGCTCCACTTGGTTTCCTGCTAGGCGCTCCCGTCAGACCATCTACGTGGACAATGGGGAATCGGGAAGTTGGAGCGGCAGAAGGCAAAGGCAAGCCAAGCGAACTTTCCGAGGGGAACTTTCAGTTTTTGGGGGGAGTTTTCGGAAGCCAATGGCAAATCGTTTTGGGTGATCGCCCTCTTGGCTTTTGGGGATCAAGTCAGGCACTGGGGCTGGACTTTCCTTTCCCCTTGAACCAGTCATTGACCGAACTCGACGTTGATAGCAAAATCATGGATGAGCCGAGAAACCCTCAGAAAGGTTTCGACACCAATCAAGGGTTTCCATGAGTGAAAATTTCCGAAGAACCACGCCCCACGCTTTCGCCTTCGCTTTCGCCTTCGCCGCTCCGGGGTCCTTCTTCTTCCGGCCAAAGGCAACTGCCATCGCGGGGCGATTGCCACCGTTGGGGTTGGGGTGGCAAAGCGCAGGTTGGGACGGTGAAATGGCTTCCGGCTGGCTTGCTGGAAACCACCCAAATACCTCCAAACATTTGCCCATAGGATGGACAAGCCGGCCCAAAAGCCTGCCTTTGGCCAACACGGATTCTGAACGTGTCTCAAAATGCGAACCCGTCCCCATCCAGCGGTTTCCGTTCGAAGCATCCAGAAAAGCGGATGCTGTCTTCAACGTGCCGCCATTCCTGGGCAGGAGTCCACTCGCCACATGTCTCCAGGCGCCCCTTTGAGACCTCGAGCTTCGGGAGCTGTGCTCGTCTGGCAAAGGCAGGGTGTCCAAAAGGGCTAAGCTCCTGGGAAACGGCCAAGCTCTCACTTATTGAGGGGCCAATCAAGCTCCAAGCAACTCATAACTACACTGAATTGGTTGGAAGCAACACCTCCATCCAGCTGCGTGGCTCGAGATTTAGCGAACTGCGGAACCCTCTCGTGTTGATCTGTCCAAAAAGCTTAAAGTTCAACTGGGGGAGTCAGCAATTCATCCCTCCAGCTTCTCTCGTGCTTCCCAAGAGCGCAAACCTAAAGATTTCAGAACGCGATGCACGTGTTTGTTTTGTCCTTTGCTCGCGAGACACTTTTTCACGAGGTCAATCGGTCAATCCATTACCTTCACGGCACAACTGTACAGGGGCCAAGGCAAAGTTCTGAAACATAATGTCGCACATCTGGCACTCATCCTCAGGAGTGAAGGTCAGCACAGTTCTGAAGCCAAACCAGGGAGCAGCCGGGCTGTTGGGATATAGTCCAAAATGCTAAGGTCCAAAATATGGCCTAAGGCATACCAAGCCTCCGCAAGGATTACCAAGGATTTCTTGCCAGTTTTGAGGAAAAGCCCCTTGTGGCCGCACGCTGTCTCGTGAAGAAAGGTTCGGCCGTCAGCAACAAATGCCCGCTGATTGCTGAAACCTTCATCCTCAAATTTCCAGATAAATTTCCCTGGCCCAAGCATACCACTCTATCACGGGGATGTTCATGTAAAAATCATCGAGGCCGGCAAGACCTCAAAGTAAGCTTAAGCATGTCAAAGAGGATGCATACATTGCAGTTTCTCCTTCCCAAGTGGATTGGCAATATTCAAGTCTGAACAAGTTGTTTACCCAGATGGGCCAAACCCAAAAAGTGCTTAAAGTCCAGGAACTCGGGGAGTCAGGCTACAACAGGGGAACCAAGCACGACGGCACATCACACCAGATCAAATATTGCACATTCGGACCAGGGCAGCGCACACAGGCATTCGCAGATTTACACGGAACTGACAAGTGTGTCCTCCAAAAGGCGCTTCCTCCAACGACAGGGGGGCTAGGCGACCTTCTGCATCATAGCTTGAAGGAACACGACACCAGCAAACTTTGACCGCAAACCAACAACTGGGTCTGTCTTAAAATAAGGGGGGTTCACCCCAAAAGTGGCGTTCCTTTTCGGTGTCCCTTGACCACCAGCCCCGAAAAGGGTTCCCTCAACAAAAAACAAAAGACCACTCCGGCCCCCAACCCGGTTCGCCGAGCTTCTAGAGTGCCTCCTTATCCGCGAGAAAGAGCTGCGGGGAGCTACCCATCACGCGCTGCCTGGGAAGTGAAAGGGGTCCCTGGGGGGCTCCCAAGGGGAGACCATGTATGGCTTCATGAGACCGACAAGGGCAAAGGTTGAGACTTTCAGCTTAGTAAAAGGTGTGCCAAAGTTGCCTGTACGTAGTCTCTTCATTTCAGCCATTAGATGTCAAGAGGATGGGTGTCTTCCGGATTCACTGGATCGTCCACTTCCATTGTCCACAAATATAGATGATGCTTGTCACTGTCATGTTCTCACCCTTGCTTAGTCATCCTACTCACTAAGTTGCAAACTACTGGTGATTTCTATCGAAACTGCCAGTTTTGCAGGCCCAACAATGGAAAAGGACACCCTGCACTACTTAATGGGAAAAGCGTTCGTCCAGTCGCGTCTGCGAGCGACCAAGCTGCGTCTGCGAGCCGTTGATGAGTGCGGCGGCTGGCTGCTGGTGCACCGTCGAAGCCATAATCAAGCCTAGGCTTCCAGGGCACCACCCAAAAGAAACTAAGCTCCTACATGGCCCAACCCAGCCGGTGTCTATCACCACCAACAGGGGAAATCCAAAGGATTCTGGCTTCGCTATTCCCCCATGCCTTGCCGGGAGGCTTGAACTGTTCCAGCCTTCCATGAATGAACCCACTGCCACCAATTATATACATACCTTTTTCAAGGGGATGGGGGTGCCCTGATGGGATCAAATCAGCACATCCGGCGAAATCAAGTTGAATGAATGGCAGCAAGAGAGGTTGCCAATGCAATCATCAAACAGGAGGGATGTGAAGCAAAAAGGGGAACGTTGGCAAAACATGTTCAAGATTGTTCTCTGTCAAAAAAGCTGGTCTGCGCTTGGTCGACGTCAGTCACGAAAAAAAGCTTGCGTGAGCACACACCCGAATGTTATGGTGATCTCCGTAGTGCAGCCTGCAAACAAACAAGACGTGCGCCCAACACATCCGTTCTAGAGGACTCTCACTTGATGCACGCTTCGAGTTTCATGGATGGTCATTGCACAATGGGAACCCACGATCAATGAACACGTGGTTGAATAGCAAAGCATGTGCCACCTTCGAAGGATTCTGGCACTTTGGGCAGGGAAGCTGCACCCCAGTTGGTGAACCCGCCCGGCTCTTGTTGTTTTAATCCAGCGCCAAGATGACTTGAAAAACCTGGCAAGTAATGTTGACCCCATATTAATCAACCCCAGTTCATTAATGGAGGGTGGGGGCCCCTCCAAAAGTGATGATTGATGTCCCATACTTCACCCAGAGACACGGCCCTATTACATAAACTGGGGTTGATTAAAAAAAATGGGATCAACAGGGTTGATTTAAACAAAAAAGTAAGTCAACATTCACACGGATCCAGCTATCAGCTCAAGAAAGATGCCTTTTTCCCCGGGGGGCTTGATCGCTCCACCTTCTCGATTGGGTTGATGTTGTCCTGGATCACCGTCTCGGTGACCGTCTTGTCAAAGCAATGAGTCGCGGCCACGACGATGTGCATGGACGCGTGGCCTGTGAGAAACCTTCCCTATCTCAATGGCTGTGTTTGTTTTTTTCTGTCGTAGGAGGGGTAAGAGGCAAAACTGGGTTCGGGAGGTTCGAGTCCCCCCAAAATGCTTCCTCTACAGTACCTCCATTTGCTTTTTCGTCCCGTGGAAAAAGCACAAATGTTCAGAAGGGATCCCATGACAGCTTGCTTGTGCTGGGGTCGTTTTTCTGGCTGTGGGTCAATCAAAATTCGGGGCCCGGCCGTTTCCCTTTCACCTGGCAGGCTGACTTCAATCACGGTCCGTATCCAGCTGACCATAAAATTAAATGGCCGGTTTTCCACAGGGAACCACTTTTTGGTTGGTGGTTTCCTGAATCCCCACCGAACTCTGATTCCCACCATTTCGGGCCCATTCAACTCACATCCAACTGTAAAACCGGAAGTTCAGAAGAGAACCTTCCATTTCCTGAGGACCCTTAAACCAAAAAACATACGTCCACAAATACCGAACATTCATTCCAGCAAATGGAAGAAGATGGCTGTGGGTCCAAAATAGGGTAACCCCAAAATGGCTTGCCCCGGTAAATGGAAACATGGACTACAATCTGCGGTCCCCTGGTGATTTAATATTGACCCACACCCAGACGCCGATTTTTTTCGTGGCAGCTTCCATGGTGCGCAGCTTTTCCGAGGTGCTCAATGGCAAAGCCCCAGACTTGGTGATGGCGTCCAGGAGGTCGAAGGCGGCCTCTTTCTCTCCTTAAGACAGAACCGGAGTGGTCATCTAGATTCTCCAGTGGAGAGGTTAGAATAAGGGCACCAACTTTTTTCTGTAGTCTACCTTTAGCAGGGGAACCCTCCCCCAAAAAAGGGTGAGAGAAGGGCACTACTGGGGGACCTAGTCATGTTACGACCCCAGGTTGATCATCTGTTTATTGATGGAATTTATGGTGGGTTCCATGTAAGTGGACCGGAGGGCAACACATGATGTTGACCCCAGATTAATCAACCCCAGTGTGGGGGTGGGGGCCACTCCAAAAGTGGGTTGATGTCCCACTAAACAGAACCCTCCCCCAATTAATACACTGGGGGTGATTAATATTGGGTCAACACTGCATAGGGGGCCTGAAAAAAAGAAGAAGAACATCTGTACCCATTTGGCTTGCCTTTGGGGAAATGGACAAATCATTGGCCATTTGGAACCCATGAGCAAATGCGAATGCAAACTCATGCGCAAACCAACGGGCAAGAGCACAAGCTGTTGAAAAGCAAAGAACATACAAAACACAACGAGCAAAAGGCACAACGAAGCCCAAAAAGCCGAGCCAAATATCTCCGCTAATCTTCTAGCTTCCCTTTAAAACCCACAGGAAAAGCCACAAACCCCTCACCAAGAAGGTCACTTTTTTTTCTTCTGAAGTCCAACCAAAGGGTGTTGTTCTATTACCAACCAAAGGGTGTTGTTCTATTACACCCGAGTACGCTCTCTGGGGAATCATCCTATAGGCTAGCCTGGCTGTGGTCTATTGGGGATTATTTGGGGTAATTTGCTTGGGGTGTAGCCCCAAGGTTTAGGTTTACCAGGCTACACCCTGGTCCTTGTGATCGATTTGGGATACTTTCCCAAATCGAACTCTCAGTGGTTTTCCGGAAACTCCTCAGACGAGTACGGGTCAAAATCCAAAACCCACCAGGAAAAATATCTGTTCCATTTACCTGGGCCACCCATGTTTTCGGTACAACCGCCCCATTTTTTGGACCGCCAGATATTCGTCTCCCAGCCAGCTAGCTCGCTCCCGAGGGGCGCTTCTGGGTGTCCGGGTCCAGCGGCTGGGTCTTGGGCTCTGCCAGCAGCGCCGCCTGGGATCGTTTCCGCCAGGCCTTCCCCGGCGTGATGATGGTGGGCCGCAGCGCGCTGTCCTGAGCTCGTTCCCCGAAAGCCCCCGAAGGCCGGCCGAAGGCCCGGGCGGTTGGGTTTGGGGGGGGGGGGGTGGGGGTTGGAGGTTGGGGTTGGGGGTTGGGGATGTGGGTTTATGTGTGTTATGTGTTATTGATTTAATTATTTTTTGAAGGGGCTAACGACACTTGGGCTTTGGGTTGGGGGGGGGACGTTAGTTTATGTATGTTGCTTTTGATTGTTGTTTTTGTGGGCTAATAACACTTGGGCGTTTTTGAGGCGCACAGCTAGTTTCAGACGCACCCACTTAAGTCACTTAGTTTATGTTGGAGCCCCAATTTCCACCAACCAATAAGGTTGCAAAACAGACTCGAAGAGTCCGGGAGCGTGGGCGGTCTGGGAAGTTAAGTGAGTTCGGCAAAACAAGTGAGCTCCCCTTTTCTTGCGGCAAACCTGATGAGCCTGGCTTTCGGAAAAAAACAGTCTGTGCCTCAGTGACTGCCTTGTGAACAAGTAAAAGAACTGCATGAGTGTCATAGGAAAAGAACGCAACGGGGCTGGCGCCCAGTAGGTGGTCTTTGTCTGCCTGAGACGCCCCTTGCATGGATGTGGACCCCCCTCACTACATTAACTAAGGGATGCCCGGCGATTTTGAAGCTAAACAGGGACTGAAGAATTCACTTCAACCTCCCTCACACACATGTATCCAAGTGTCCGGATCCAGCTGCTCGAATTGCGCGTCCATCTGTTGGGGCACCTGTGTGTAGTCGCGCTCTCTCGCCTTCGGAGTCTCGATGCTGGCGTTGCCTCACACTCGAAGTGGATGATCCAAAACTCCAAGCCGCTTGTTGGAGGGTGTCTGTTTCTTTGGGTGCTGTTTTGGGTTGGTTTAGAAAGGGAAACCAAAAGGACAACCCTGAATTTCGCGGGGTGCAACCTTATAAGAGACACGCCCACATGCTCTCCCACAGGTAGAGTCCCGAAGCCGGGAAGTGAGAATCATTGAAACATGTAACGTACCGCTTTGAAACAGCCTGCTTCAAGCGCGCGGGCCAGCATGATGGAGCTAACACATTCCAATAAGAAACCTGCTGGGAGCTACAAATATCTACAGAAATCTCAAGAAAGCTAAAGAAAGCTAACAAGCGCTAACAGAAACTAGAAAAGGCTTTTGCAGAAACTGTGCAGCAACACAATCCAACAAGGCTTTCAAGAGCATAAACTGCCAACAAAGAGAAAATGCCTCATTATGAGCCAGTCCACCCTTAGGCTCGTGCCATGTTGGAAGAACGTTCACTTGGGCGGCTGGGTGGCTGGGTCGCTTGCCTTCGTCCACGAGCTACGTTGAGTTCCGTGCGCGCGTTGAACGCACGAACGGCAAGATCGCGACGGAGCCGGCCTCTTACAAAGCACCTAAGGGGAACACGGAATGGAACAAGTTAGCCTTTTTCAGCTCCCCTGACCTCTGGTTTTGTGCCAAAGCAGGGTGTTTCAAAGGTTGTCCCCAGTACCTAAGGGAGAAGGAAACAAAGCGGACAAACCATTGCGCCGTGTTTCGGTCTGTAGGCCCTACCCCGCTATGACCTTAAGGGCCTGAAGGCAATGCAGCCGCTCTAAAGACAAACACGGCCCCTTGCCTCACAGCTGCTACCTTGGATCTGTTCGCCCCCAAACACGAACAGAAACAACTTGGAAGATAGCTTCAGTCATGGTTGAGCCTCAAATGTTTAAATCCATACCAGGCGCGCCACAAACCCAGACATTTTCTGAACACATCTCCGCCTTGCCCCTAATTGGTGGTTTGGTGGTGCGTTCCCCACAAAGAAACTAAGGGGGTACCCTCCCCATTTAGCTTCGACCAATTGGGGGGAGCCTGAAACTAAGGCATTCAGCTGCGCGAGGGGGTCCAGAGGAAAGAGTGTAAATTTGTCAAGTGTGGGGGAGATATGGAAATGTACAGATTTCCGGCTTTGGCGGGGGGGGGATCAACATGTACAGATTTCAGTTTGTTTTTGTTTGGGGAGGGGGGAGATGGACATGTACAGCTTTCAGGTTTTGGCTCACTGTCAAAAGTACACCCAAGCTTCCCCCCCCCCAGATGAACGACTTCCCATGCATAACTCTTCCAGCCCCTCCTGGGCGCTGAGAGCTCGCTGGCTCTCCGTCCTCGGCGAGAGTGTGCTGAGTCAATAGGTATCATGGCTGCGGGTCAAAAATGGAATTTGCTTTCGTGTAGGAACAGGATGGCTTGATTCAAAAGAGGTTCCATGATAACAAATGGCTGTGGATCAAACATAGGGGAACCCCAAAATGGCTTGCCCTTGTAAATGGAACCAAGGACTAAAACCTGCGGTTCAATTCCTGGTGGTGTAATTTTGACCCATACCCACATGAGTGACAATCAAATTCCGGTATCAAAATGGTCGACCCGGGGCAAAGTGGTCTGTCCCTTTTTTGGTACTCTTGGTACTTTCTGGTAGTTTTGGTTGCCCATAGATTGCGATTCCGGGCTGACGGGTAATACTGTGGATGGTTCCTAGGGTTTCCTAGGTGGTGCAGGATTTCATCCATCCACAGTAGGTGTTATACCTTTGGTACTTTCTGGTATTTGCTGGTAGTTTGGTCCATAGATTCGATTCCTGGCTGACCTGGTTGCTTCATAATCTGCCGGGGCCATCTCTGTTCAGCGATTCCTCGGGGGCAGAAAACTCAGTCCCCGATTTCCGTTTCGGACTTTAGTCACTTTTGCGATCTGGATATGTGGCAAACAAAAAGTGTGGTGCCTTTTTTTGAGCCATCCACTCAGGAAGTGAGTTTTGTTGACTGCTTCTTGGGGATTAAAGTCAGAAGTGCGTGGTTGGTGGTTTCCCTTAAGCCTACGGGCGTGACTTTGATAGCAGTGAAATAATGGGGCCTGTTCCCATCGGTTGTTGCAAAATAGGGGACCCCCCTAAACTGGTTGGTTTCCTCTTGGTTTTCCCTCGAAGCCTTTCAAACGCAACTGGAGGCTGGACAAGCAACCCGCTATTATAATCTATTGCGCAATCCTTGATGCTTGCAGGTGACGAAAGGGGATTGGCCATGCATGTTGACCAGCTGTTGGAAGGTCAACCAAGGAACCCGGGCAGTTTTTACCCAGCCTTCACTGGAGCTCCTCCTTTTTGGGTCCAACTGAATCATTCGTCAAAATGGGACAGGGAACCCCCCCCTCCAGTTCGTGTTTCCCCCTTCTCCTTTCTTTTCGCATCCTCGGTTTCCGTTCTCCGGATGGTTTCCCTGTAACTTGCCAAGCAACATGTGAGCCACAATCAAAACCCATACAAGGGAACCGTAAACGGAATTCCAGGGCTCGAAATCCCCCCCTCCTTTTCCCAATTCCATCTCTCTCAGGGGGTGGGGATCGGACCCAACACCGCCGGGGGTCTTTGGTCACCTCAGCTTCCGCTTTCGCCGGCTCCGGCTCCGGCGCCGAGGAATCCCCGCGGCCGGGGCTGGCGACTGGCGCGGGCGCCGCCGACGCCGCTGCGGCGTCCGAGATGGGGATCCTTGCGACGCGCTCGGTGGGTGGATGGGGGGGGGCGGTGTCCTGATTCAAATCGGTTTGGAATAGTGCCCTGCAAAGAAGAGGGGCTTCTAAGGGGAGTTGGGGGATTCAAATCCACCAATGGAATCACCAACTTACCCCTTGACTGGTTTCGAATAGTGCCATCCCTGGGGAGGAGGGGGCTTCTTGACCGTTGGGGCCCCGTGCAGTACTGGAATTTCACCAAAGACCCACCAGAAACATGTTGTTTTCTGATTGTTTTCGACTGGAAACTTACGCATATGCGCCCAACAAACACGATTGTTGGGAGGTCCACCAAAGACCGACCAACTAACAATTAGTTTGGGCATGGGTCCTGCAATTGGTTTCTTAGATTGGTTCGTAAAGCCCGCCTGGATTCAACAAACATCAGTGAGCCGAGGCATCATCCATAGTACTTACTCTGGCATACTCACCGAGTTTGTTGGCAACCTGCCAGTCGAAAAAGCCAGCTGAAAGAAAAGTGAGTAAAAGGGCTAGTTTTGGGGGTGGAAGAAACATCATTCAGACACACAAGAAACACAGATCGAGCCCCTTCTGCATCGTTTTGTGGGTCTAACTAGGAAAAACTGATTCCTGCCTCACCCAGAAAGCTATTCATCCAAGGATCCGATACAAAATAGCTATAAAACATATCCCTGTAACAATTTCAGCAGAACTTCGTGGACGAGGTTGAGCCCAATACCCAAGTACCGCGAACGAGACCTCTTTGGGTTTGTTTCCCTTTCGCTACGTGCGTCTCATTGATTAAGAAGCCCTCACCTGGAATCCAGCTCAAGCTCACGGCAGCTTTCTGCCCTAGCAAGAAACCGCTGAAAGAGTCGGGCATGCCGCAGTCCCAATTCCATTGTTCTTCAAGGCAAGGATGCAACTACAAGTGCTTTTGTCTTTGGAGTACTTTCAACAGGGAAGCAAGCGACCCCCCCCATTTTCAAAATGGTTTCCCTCAGTTGCTTGCCCCCAGTTCCATCAATTGTCCACGGGCTGCTCCAAAGACCCGATGCACATGTTCTGCTCTTGCGGTTTGCTCCGAAATCACAATACATCGAACTGCTAGATCTGCTTTTACATTTGAAAAAGGGATTGGATCCCATGAAGCCTACATCATAGGTACAGCTCGCTTTCCCCACTCATCGGCAAGCTCGTTCAACAAATATGGAGGGTCTTTTTTTTGGCACCCAATTCGCCCAGTTGGGCTGAAGGAAAACCTGCAGGGAAGAGATTCCTATTTGCGGGCGCCCCTTCTTTCACACTTTAGGGATTGTGTTTTTGGTTGAGGGTACCCTTTTGTGGTGTCAAAGCGCAACCCA